GTGCAACGGGGCCCAGCGTCCACCACATGAACACATGTAGCACACACATGTGTACTTATTATCTGTGATGCTCCGCAACGCCTCCGCAAATGCTCCAGCTACGCGGCAGAGCGTCGCACAGGCACCGTACGCTCCTTGTGTGTGCGTGGAAGCCGCGAAGAGCTCAAACAGGTAAGGATGGCGGGTGGGCGGGTGGGTCCTCCGGAGCACCATACCGGAATGGTACCTGGTGCTCCCGGCAGGCACCAGTATGCCCATGGAGTACCGGTAGTAACTCACCACTGCTACTCAGCCTCTACATCTTTAGGCAGGAAGAATAAAACAAATGGACTTGCATTGTGTCAGCCCTGCAAGCAGATGAACCGGTAGTGGCGGTGGGAGGCTCTGTCCACCCGCCTGGATGCTTCTNAGGATTTTATAAATAAGTAAATGAAATGCCAGTATGTGGTTATGTATTAAATCTAGGTATATTTTACGATGAAGGACGTTTAAACAACCATAATTAAATAAAAGTGGAGGTATGGTGATGGTAATATGTTTAAACATCTGAGTTACGATATTAGAGTTAATATGAATTATACTTGATGACGGGGGAAGAGATGCACAAAAGCCTTTTGTGACCAACTGATACACTTTCTACAGTATGTAAAGAAGGAGGATTTGTATGTTTGTTTTGAAAATAAAAGAAATATATTTACAAAAAAAAGATACTTTAATACTATATTACGTCAAGAAGGATGCTGGAAAAAAGGATGGATTAAATTAAAATTTTAAAGATGTCCCTTTAATTTAGATCAGTGGACTAACATCTTTGGCTTGAACTTGGCCTATCCATTTACTTTAACAGTGACAAGAAAATTCAAGCTGAATGATAGTGCAGATGTTCCCTTAGATTTGATTTCAAGCTCAAGACCTGGAATCTCAGACTGGGTTAAAAGTTCCACTCTGAAATGCCAGGGAGCCACTGCTGATCCTAACCACCACAACAAATCGGGTGAGCAAGATTCAGTGGCAAAGAAATGATAATGGATCTTTATTGCCATTTGATCTTAAGTGGAGAGAACATTTCTATAATATGTTGGGTTTGTTTACCTTTCTGTCCAGTTTCTTCAAGTTTTTCTGCAAGATCATTTCTATTGCATTTTCGAAGGACATCAATGCACACCTCTAGAGCATCTTCTCCATAATGTTGAATCATGAGATCTACAATGTCTTGTGCATCTGCTTTCTCCAGTGAAGCTTTAGAAATGTTTGGCTTTGCATTATAATCAATAGAATTTAGCCTCCATTTAAATTCTTTTAATTCTTTCACAAGGAGTTCATTCAATGCATTGTAAAGTTCTTCTTTTACAGTGTTATTCATGTCCGTTATGATGGATTATATCTAAAATTAAAATTAGAGAATTAAATTAATATTGGAAAATGAGATTTGAAAACAACAGTATTCAAGTTAAACTAATTAGCTCATTCACAAAGGCACAGCAGTTTATTTATCAATTCATTCCTACTGGTTTCTGTATGTCACCCATTCCATACATTCTAGGCAGGCTATAATCCTCAAAGGTAGATAGCACTAATCCTCACCTGAGAGGGCAAGCTATAACCAAGAAGCCTGTCCTCCAGGTTTCCACCTGCCTTTTCCAATGATGTGAACCCAGAGCTTTCCCCTTGGCTTTAACATAATGGGCAGACAGATTCCCCTTGAAGTAGTATATCCCTGTTTGGAGCCACACTATTCAGAAGGTGCAAAAACACAGTAAACTGTTCCTTCTGGATTGTCAGAAAGGATGCCATGGAAATGTAGAGGGTGTTTTCTCACTGTGTAATCCCATTTAGGTCATTCATAAGAACAAACACTGTAACTTCCATCCCTGAACTCAGATCAGAAGAGATGCCGATACAGAAGTTGGAATGATAACTATTCAAATGATGACTTTATATATATATAAAAAAATAGTAGAAAGAAATAGTAAAGAAAGAGATATAGACAAAAGTGTGGAAAATAATAGAAAGCCAAGAAGATGAAAAAAGACTAAAATAAGCTATTTCTGACCTTGTTTTACAATAATTACTTGATACCATTTCCCTCTNAGAGGCAGAAGAAGAGGGTTAGGATAGCCACTCCCTAGAATCTTTCAGGATATATCCGTTAGGCTAAGAGCTTTAAAAGTTTACTTTGGCAAGATTCTGTCTGTTGTGAGTAAGCAGATAAGGAACTAAATACTAACTCAATTGTTCTTTGGTCTTTTCGGTCTTAGCCTGACATGCCTATTAATCACAGTAACTATTATTTGGACAACAGGTTGAGCCAAGTCAATGAAAGTTCTAGCAGATATACAGGCAGTCCTAGACTTTACAGAACCCAACATTTCACTTGCTAAGTGAGTGTTGCTTCATTTTATGAGCTTTCTTGCCACATTTGTTAAGCAAATCACTAGAAAGCCTCTGGAGCCTGGGGAGGGCAAAAAACAGACCTATGGGACCTACTAGAAGTCAGAAAACGGGCCTTTTCCAGCCTCCGGAGGGCCTCCGAGGGGGTGGGGGAGGCCGTTTTCGCCCTCCCCAGGCTCCAAGCTGCACACGTGTGTGGCAGTGGGGTGGGTGGGTCATGCACACATGCACAGGGGGCATGGCGTGGGTGGGCATTAAACTATGGGGGTGGGCACGCAGGTGTGCATGATAGCATGTGTCATGTGCTTTTGGTACCCAAGGCGAAAAAGGTTTGCCATCACCTAGGAAATAATAGATTTCCACCTGTATATATCTCCTCTGTCTAATATATAAAGATGCAGGAATGCAATATATATATGAATGAGGGAAACTCCCTTGGAGCAATGGGAGAAGAAACACCGGTCCTCCAGCAAATCACCATAATCTGGCATAGAGTTCTTTAAATACATTTCCATTTTGAAATGTAGGCATATTTCAGAAGTCATAGAATAGTTCTAGCTGAGAGAAAGGAACAACAGTGGTGAATTTATGGACACCCGCTAATTAGTTCCCTGGTCTATGGGCTTATCTGAATTATTATCTTCTTGGAGCAACCCATAATCCCTTGTGGGGTGGAGCCTGGGCAACTGATTGGAACTGGGTGTTTACTGGCTGGATGCCCTTCCTGTCGCCAATGCGGAGTTTTTTCCAGCAGATATATTCTCATTGTGTCCAGAGAAAGAAATATTTGCCTCTGCCTAGGATTGAACTCACAGCCTCCTGATTGTGAGGCAAATGCTACCGCACCACTCTATGGACTTATTTGCCTTTATATGCCGAAATAAAAATGGAAACATTGGAGTGGATTTTGTACATTCATTCAGATTATGAATGTAAAAAATGAATGAATGTAAAAAAATCGACAAGAATCCCACTCAAATGCTTCTATTTTTATTTGGCCATATGGACAGAGCAAAGTGGCTCAGTGTGCCAAACAGCTAAATATCAGAGGCTGGGAAGATGCGCATGTCAAATCCATCATTTCTAAAAAAAAAAATAGCATCTATATGAGCATATCACACTACAGATAGTTCTGGATTTAATGACCACCGTTGGAACCAGAATTTCTGTCACTAAGCAAGAAAATTATTAAGTATCCGATTTACATCATGTCTGATTTATGACCTTTTTTGCCACCGTTACTAAGCGAATCACTGCTGCTGTTAAGTGAAATGTAGTCATTAAGTGAATCTGGCTTCCTCCATTGAGTTGATTGGCTGGAAAGGTCGCAGGTGGCCCGGCCCCATAATTTTGATCACATGACCTGGGGATGCTGGGATGGTCCATAAGTGTGAAGACCGGTCGCTATAACATTTTTTCAGTTGCGGTTGTCGCTTTGAATGGCTGCTAAATGAATTATTCTAATTTGAGGGCAACCTGTAATTAATTGCAGGTTATAAAAAGAAGCTGGATCAATGTGAAGATCAAGGATTTTAGAAGTTGTAAAGTAGATATATTAAAGATGTTTTAAAAATACATTGTGTACTTTTGGGGTAGCTTAATGTGCTGAATATGCTTTGAACATGCTTCGCTCACCAGTCTGTCTGCCCTCTTAGAAGAGTTATTGATTTTTATTTATATAAACAGGGAGTTTACAGTAATACATTTTTTCATACATCTTGCATGGCTTGTACCTTGCAATTTTTGGCAGCCACATTTTGCTTCAAATGGAATTTATGAACATTTTCCACAGCTACATTCAGCCATGAATGTAAAGCCCATTAATTTAATTTTAATTTTTTAATTTAATTAACCACATTACATTAATTAAGATGGGATTATGTGAACCCATGTATTTGTGTGTGTGTGTGTATGTGTATGTATGTATGTATATATATATATATGTGTGTGTGTGTGTGTGTATGTNTAACCAACTGATACACTTTCTGCAGTATGTAAAGAAGGAGGATTTGTATGTTTGTTTTGAAAATAAAGATATATTTTAAAAAAAAAGACTTATGGGATTTCAACTCCCAGGTATTCTAGGAGTTGAAGTCCACACATCTTAACATGCCTGGTTGCAAAACACTGCTCTAGAGTGGGGGTTTCTAACCGTGTCAATTTTAAAACTTGTGGACTTGAAGTCCCAGAATTCCTCAGCAGCATGGATGGCTGAGAAATTCTGGGAGTTGAAATCCACAAGTTGACAAGATTGGAGAGCCCTACTTTAAAGATTATAGCTGGCTGGGGAATTCTGGAAATTGCACAAGTCTTAAAGTTGCCAAAGTTGGAGACTTTGATCTAGAGAACGAAGGTGCTCGCAGGAGGCTAATGGGGGAATAGCTTCCTAATGGAGGCAGATTATCTCATTGTTTCAGCTCCAAGCCTTGTATAGTAAAAGTGAAGAAATGTAGTCAGTCCTCAAAGTAATCAGTGCTGGGCAGAGCACCTGGTGATCGGGAGGTTTGGGTGGCAAACTGACCGAAGCAGGCATTTCCAAGGGACCCACAGGGTTTCTGACCAGCTGGCTCAGCCATGTTCATTCTGCTGCTCTTTGCCTGAACAGTTGGTAAAGGAGAGATTGCTGTGCCATGCGATCATAGGGAAGCAGTCTGGAAAAGAACGCATCATGAAGGTTGATGTCACTTGTGAATTCATCGCGCCAGTTCTGCAGATTTCCTCCAGAGCAGTTACTTTCCATGTGGAGAAGGTGAGTGCTTTAATAACATGACATCCTTCTGGCTTTTGACATCAGACTAACCCAAAGGCTAGAATTCTGTGAGCTTGTTCCCTCTGTCCCTGGGACTTAGAATCCTGAGTCCTTGGAAAGATTGCAGGTGTTGTTGGGGAGAGTCAGGATAGGAGCTGATACATACATGATCAGGACTTGAAAAATGAGGGGGATTTTTTTTCTGGATATTAAGATACCTATGCAGATAAGTAGTGGCATCTTATATCATCCTCGTCCTCGTGACAGTGATCGTCATGATGACAATCATCATAATTGTCTATTCATTGCAGGATGAAAGGCTTCTTCTGCCAACCTATACTGTCCTGTGCTTTCTTTTGCCAATTGGCCCCGTAATTAGAGATGTAAAATTTCTGGAAATTTTGAGGCCATGAGAAAAAAAAAAATTTTTCCCGGAAAAAATAGAAAAATAGAAATTTTGGAAAAATAGAAAAAAAAATTCAGTGTGGAGTAGTTTTACAAATTGTGTGGAATGCAGTATATATATGTATTAGCCTTGCAATAAAACAGGTAACCACCCCCTTTTCCCTCAAAAGCAACCCAAAAATTAAGAAACCATCAACATAAAAAATAATCAGGTTTGCCCCTTAGCACCAATAGCAAATAAAGTTAGGTCCACCTCAATATTGAAGCTCAATAGAAGGTTTACCTTTTGAGTGGTGCTTTAAAAAAAACCCAGAAGACATAACACATACATGCTGTTTATTCGCTATCTCATTTTCTGAACTACTGATCTCATTTTCCAAGTGGTCTCTTCTACCTCTTTGTCATTTTTCTTATGGACTTCTAAAAACTTTCATTTGCACGGATTGAAACAAGCTTTTCTACCCTTTCACAGGTCAGTTTGTTTCTTGGTTTGTCATGAATATTACAAAACCTAGACCAGATTCTTTCATATGCAGCAGAAAATGAAGGAATCTGCAGTAAGTGAGATGCAAGAGGTGTCACCTAAGAGCCAAGGTGGCGCAGTGGTTAAATGCAGCACTGCAGGCTGACTGCTAGATCAGCAGTTCAGCGGTTCAAATCTCACCGGCTCAGGGTTGACTCAGCCTTCCATCCTTCCGAGGTGGGTAAAATGAGGACCCGGATTGTTGTTGGGGGCAATATGCTGACTCTGTAAACCGCTTAGAGAGGCCTGAAAGGCCTATGAAGCGGTATATAAGTCTACTGTTATTATTATTATTATTATTGATGCAGAGACCTTGCCACCATGTTGCAGGAAGGAGATGTTTTGCAGAATCCCAGAATGCATTTCTGGCCCAAATCCCGGAAGGTGTTCTATATTCTGCAACATTTGAAAGTACTTTTCCAACATCAAATCCTAAGTGTGCAGCTTGTTTCATAATCCAGTCAAATGCAGCAGCTGTATTCCTATCACTCACACCACTGCTTTGAATCTTAGATACAGTAGATTTTCAGCAGCATGGTGCAACAAAATTATTCCTGTTTCTTAATAAAATCTTTCACTGTACTTTTTTTCACCAGTTGTAAGTGGAGATGCACTTTGGTTTTCAAAAACGTGTTTTTATCATAGCCACGTGGTTAGGAATTTCTGACAAAAGTGCAGTGTGTGATTCAGATGCACGGATTGCTGAAAAAAGAAGAAAAAAGAACCTTAATCCATGAGATACCCATCCCTTTGTAGTAATATGTGGATACTTGTCCATTATGATTTCCCATGCAGCTTTCATATTACTTGCATCGTCAGTCAGCACAGCAAATACTTTGCCACTCTCAATTTTCTCTGAAACTGCACATATTTTATTGCTGATATACTCTGCAATATGTTCTCTCCAGTTTCAATGCTCCTATAAAAGACTGGTTAAGATGTTACTATCACCAAGTTGATGATTCCTTCTCCCCAAACATTTGTCCGTGCATCTGTAAGTACTGCAAGACATAGTGCTTCACTAATTTGGTACACTTTGGTATCCCCCTTTCCCCCCACCAGTGTGTGGTCCTATCCATCATCAATAAAGCTTCTTTCCAATCAACTTCCATGAACCCAGTGTCTTTTGTCCTCACTTGGAACTGAACCCAGAAGGACATTTCTTCCAATAATTTGGCACTACAGAAATGGGACTCCAAGCTAACCTAACCAATGGACCTGGCCCAAGTAAGCTTCCCTTGCTGGCAGCAGACCCACTGAGTCTGTGGGTAGATTTCCCTGGACCATTTGGAATAGGGTTTTAAAGGGGTTTTGAGTGTTGAGCTCAAAGGCTGCTTGGAAAGAAGGTGAGTACCTCTAAATTTTAATTTTATAGCCCAGAAAAGCATGGGAAATGTGTGTATGCACACATAAAGTTCAACATAGTTACTGCTCTGGGATAGACTTCAGCTTATTTGTCCATGTTTTTATTGTCCTGTATCATCTGTCACATGGTAATAGTTTAAAAAAAGGGTGCCTAGGATGAGATGGATCTTTAAGAATGTTTCGAACTTTCTGAAGGCAACGGGAGCTATAAAGCTCTTCCAAGGAGGGGAAAGGGCAACCAATTTTAAGGCAGATTTGCTTAAAAATAATCCTTTATGTTGTCCACATTTCCAATATAAACTTGAGATACTTTTATGCATTCTAGATACCTTTTCTGGAGTCATATACCAAAAGTACATCATTTTGTAAAAATTATCTTTTGGGTTATAACATAATGTGAATTTTCATCTTGTTAACCACATATTTTCCTACTGCTCCAACAGTAAGCTATGCCCAAAGGTCTTAACCCAGTTTATTATAGATTATTTCATGTGCACATCCTCTATTTCAATTTTCAGCAAGCATTCATATATTTTGGTAATTACCTATTCATCATTTGTACAGCCATTTTTCTTTTCTTTTCCCACCTTCCTCCTCCCCTGTCGAAGACACTATTCCCCCTCTTTCTCCATCCAGTCTCCATGCCTGACAGCACCAAACATGCGATGTGCTGGACAGATACCCTTGAGCAAGGAAGAGTTGCATCATAATTAGTCTGGTGGTACCCAAGGCATCAATATTCTTCAAAAATATTTTAAAAATCTAGTAGTCCTTCATTAATTGCCATGGGCCACTGATCAGTTCATGCACTAAGTAATAGACTGAACTTCAATGGCTCTTTCTAACTCTATCATATTGTGATTCTTCCTTATTTTGTGCATAGCACTTGCCTGTGTGTTTGATTCTTGCTCAGTCTTTCTGTTTTTTTCTCCAGAACCCCAGTGATCTTTTGACCGCACAGTACAAGCCTCTGTTCTTGAAGAATGTTTCATCTTTGCCACTCAGGGTTGTCCTTTCTTTGCACGAGCCCTTTGCCCTCTGTGATGCGAATCACAAAAAGATTCCAGCTCCTGAGCAGGTAAGAGAACTGTCCTCCATCTGAATTCAATCCACATCCTGTCTTGTATGCTAGAGAGACAGTGTTGATTATAGTACGAGTATAGAAAACTACACTTAAGGAATGTGCAGGAAACAGAATGTGTTTTGATTCAAAACCAAAGCAAGCAAATTTTGGTTTGACAGAACATTTTTGTTGCTTATGGTTTGGGGCAGAATCAAACCTGCAGGGATCTCAGAGCGTCCCAAGCTGAGTAGGAAAAGTTGGTGTGACTCACCCCTCTTTAGTGTAACATATTATCATAATCTATATTTTCATATCATTGTAATATATATTTTCAGATTTGTTAATTATGCTAATCTGTTCCTAATACTATACCCCAGTCAGAGACCTTATGGAGTTGGGCAGCTTTACAAGTTTGGTGAATCAAGGCATTCCAATAAATGTCCCCCCTTATCTTTCCATTGCTTTCTGTCGTTTCCCCCCCCCCCCACGCCCCCATTAGCTGCTGCCCACATCCTTGGCTTCCTCCAGCTCTTCCCCCTATCTGACTTCTGCTAAGTGCTTCAGTCCATTCAGAGTCTACTGGAGTTGGGAGGCCAATTGAAATTTATTATAGATAGATATGTAACTGGAAAAAAGAGAGCTCCCATTTCATTCTTTACCTAGAATGCCCTCAAGGTAGTTTTGGCCATTTCAGAACATGCACTAAACCCATCGTTCCCAAATTAATCACTAATGTATATTTAACTTTGATTCCAATTTAGCCTTTAAAGATGGATATTGGAGAGATACATCATCTTTCAGTCAGGTTTAACCCCGCCTATAGAGATGACCTTTGTAGTCGAGTATCAGAAGAGATTCTCGTTTTGCGTTACTTGGAGCATCCTCATGTGGACTATGTCGATCTCCGGGGAGAAGTGCATTTTCCAAACCTCCACTTCCAAACAATGGATCTCAATTTTGGCTGCATCTTGAATGACACAGAAGTTATCCATGAGATCAGTATGAGCAACTACAGTCCCCTTCTTATCAAATATCGCTGGTCCTTCCTGACAGATGACCGTGAATCCTTTATCAGGTACCAGCCTTCACATACTCTGGAATTTTGCCTGATTTCTAGTTAGTCATAGCACATGATTCACTGTGTATTAAGGTCTTTAAGGAATTGCTTCTGATTAAGAAAAGTATTCTAGAATAAGCTCTAAAAGATCTAGTTTTGAACATCCAGATCCTACAAGTAGCACGTTTCTCATGTCTGAGTTTGCAGCAGTTTTCATAGCATTTATTTTTCTTCTTTAGTACAGGTAATTCTCATTTAGCAACCACAATGGGGCCCAGTAACATGATCAAAGTGGGCATTAAGTGAAAAAAATGACATGACTTGATCTGTGTTTATGGTTTTACTTCAAATTTCTTTTGCTGGTGCTAGGATAATTAGCAAGAAGAAAATAGATATTTGTACTTACATTCATTGGAGATGAAGGGGTTACAAGGGAATATGAGGGCACATAATAGAAATTCACAGAGAAAGGAATCAGCTAGAGCTGACTCTTTACGTAGCATGCTTACTGGAGCTACTTAGGAAGCAAATAAAAGCAGCAAAACCTTTCAATTTCAGGCAGCAGTCACCAGCTGGCAGTCTCTCTCTCTCTCTCTCTCTCTCTCTCTCTCTCTCTCTCTCTCTCTCTCTCTCTCTTTCTCTCTCTCTCTCTTTCTCTTTCTGTGTGTGTGTGTCCCTTCCACCCCCTCTTTATAAACGTATAGGGAAGATGAAAACTAACAAAAACCAATATAGAGGAAAGAAAGAAAAAAGGGGAAAGAAAGAAAGAAAGACAAGGGTGCAGGAAAAAAGCATAAATTAGTTCATTTTCTTGCAGCAAAATGCAAATGTGATTACACAAATATCTCTTACTCTATGGCTACAAAAAGAAAAACTCAGAGTTTGGTATAGGGCAGGCAGCTATATAAATGTTTTAAATGAAGAAAGAAAAATAAATTATTCATCTTGAGTTGCCTTCAGCAAGATAAGCAGCATACAAATTCCCTGGGAAAGTAGAAGCAGGCCCAGCATGAATTCTTGTTGGAAAGATTAGAGGAAGCACTTGGATTAACTCTGCTAAACAGCTCAAGGCTTTGTGTAATGCTGCCCTTCACAATAATTTCAAGTAATTAAATTATCTAGTGCATCCTAAAGAAGTGAGTGGAAAATTAGTCGCCCCAAACAGCAAAATGGTTGACAGATAAATTTAATAAGAATATAAATAAATAAAATCTATATCCTAACTTTTATTAATCTTTTAAATAACTTCCTAAGAAATTGTTCTTAGCCCTGATTCAGAGCATAAACCATAGTAAATGGTAATTTTTCCTTGATAATTGCAAACTGTCCATTGTTATCTTTCAATAATCTATGCTAGGAATATTGCATCCAGATTTGATTACCACAATATAAACAACATGTTGAGACTATGGAAAGAGTGCAGAGAAGAAGAAAAAAAATGGTTAGGGGGCTGGAGGCTGAAATATATGAAGAACAGTTGGAGGAATTGGGTATGTCCAGTTTAATGAATAAATGAACTGGGGAGAGAAGACAGCAGTGTTCCAATATTTGAGAGACTATCACAGAGAAGAGGAAGTTGACTTATTCTCCAAAGCACCTGAAGGCAGAATATCAGATATCACTCATAAATCACTGTGATGCTTTGGATACCTTATACCCTACAAAATAATCTGAATTTTTCTGGGCTTTTAAGAGCAAGTTTTTTTGTTTTTTGTATTGGTGACAATTTTGTTGCTTCTTGCTTTTTCCTCTCTGAGATTTCCAGCCATTGCAGCATCCATCCCCACCCACAAGTCTTCTCTCTAGAAAGATCCATGCATTCTGAACACCCCCTTGCCTTACTCCCTAACCCATCCTGTTCCCTCCGGTAGCATCCTGTGGAGATCCAAATTAGCCCCTCTCCCTTCCCAAAGATTCCTTTTTTTTCTCAGATTCAGCTCTGAAAACATTCGGCCTCTTCGTGCCCAGAAAAGGACAGAAGAGCAGGAGATCCTGAAGCCACCACAAAGCCCCCCAAGGTGCAAGATTCACAAGGATTCCATCAGGTTTGTATGCCACAAATCCACCAAAAGCCAAGAAGGTGGCCTTAATAAGGAATACCTTTGTGCCTCTCCAGCAGGCTCTCTGGAGAAAGGGTTGGGCAAAGTGGAAAGGCAAAGGGGGCGGTGTGGGCATGTGCCAAGAGGCTCAGAAAGTGCCAAGATCAGGATGGTGGGCCACAATAGTGAGGGCCAGGGATAAGGCTGCTTTAAATGCTGCCTATGACCCTCAGAGCCATGTATTTTTTCATAAGCTAAATCACTAATTTCATATTTGGCCACAATAATATGGAGGCAAAACCTGGCTATGGCTGAGAATGAGTGTCCTCACAAGGGTTTTCCTCACCTCATCCCTTTCTGTGCAAAGAGATGCTTCTGCCAGTGTTGATAGAAATACCTGAGGAAGAAGCCCCTGGTCTCAGGCAGGTGCTATTGCCAGGGAGCCTCTGAAGTGGCCAGAGAGCTTGCAACAGGTGGGCGCTCAGGGAGCAGGGAAGAAGCTCTGCCCAAACCCAGCACCTTCAGCTCTTGATCCCAGGTGGGGAGTCTGACATTCCGGTTGCAGGGTTGGCCTCAGCTCTTTTTCAAGTTGAAAGTGTAAGGCTATGTCACTACAGACATAGTTTTGCACAAATAGATGCACTGATGTGGACCACTAGGTGCGGGGGAATACAGTGTGGCCTTTCTTGCTAAAGTTATCTTTCTCTTTGTTTTAGTCTAAAGATAAACCTTAAAAACAAGCTGACATTATACATAGACATTTACTTATATTATACCTGGAAATGAATTGAAGCAGTATTTTTCACACGTATGGATTCTGAATTTGTGCTGAAATTCTATTGAGAATCTTCTATGGGAAAGGACGTTTTTGGCAGGAAATATGCTCCATGTTCCTTTTTTAACTATGCCATGCAGTTCTTTTTTAATGAAGTTTCTTTTTAAAGAAGCAATGGATGGAAACTAATCAAGGGGCGAATCAACCTAGAACTAATAGTGGATCAGCTTCCTTCCAGAAGTTGTAGTTTTTTTAAGAAGAGACTGGACACTCTTTATCTGGAATGGTAGAGCGTCTCCTGTTTGAGCAGGGGTTGGACTAGAAGACCTCCAAGGTTCCTTCTAACTCTTATTATTTTGTTAATACTCAAAGCAGTTGCATCATTTGGATGGCACTCTTTGGATCCTATCAATAGTGCTGAGGAAAATTGATTATTATTGTTTTCTTTAGGTTATTCTTTATTTTTAAGTTAGCTTATTATAGCTATGATTCTTTGACAGTAAAGACCTTAGAGTTGTAGGACTGGGGAGGTGCAGGCATTGGGGTGCAGTCGCAAGCAAATGTTCTTAACATGTTCAGGGTCTGTGATCTCTAGTACACAATTTGGACACAAGTGAGTATGTGGCCAAAGCAAATTTCTACCAACTCACAGCCATTCCATTCACCCCACACCATTTCCTGCGCTGTTCACCACTTTAACACCAATGGCAAATACCAAGACACAATTAATGTGGTGATGAAAATTATTCAGTTGGATCCAGTTGCTGCATTTGATTGTGTGAAATGGCATCCGTTGATCAAAAAAGCAGCCTCTGCATCAGTGAGAGAAAAACTGGGATGAGGAGGTGTTTGTTTTTAGTTTATTGCATATTTAAAGAGTTTATTGTTTTTAGAAATTATGGAGCAGATTTATAAATTCAGTAAATAAATTAAACTGAATATTACCTATGAGCCTATGGGCTGAAAAATACTTCCTGTGAAAAATTTCTATCTTTAGAAGGTTCCCTATGAGATGAAAAAATTGCATGCTTGAATGAAGATGCAAAAAAAAAAGGGGGGGGGGTCGCTGGTAAGGAACTGATTCTTTGATGTTATATGAGCCCCACCCCGAAGAATTGGACACAGGTGGGCAGGGGAAATCTTTACCTTTACATTTATGCTGGTGTTTGAAATTTTCAACTGGAGCAAATATTTTAATGTATATTTATTATATACTGATATAATATACAATTATATACTAATATATTTATACAATTAGTTAATTTCAATAACTAATGCAAACATATAGATGTCATTCTTGGCATTACAGAAGCTTAATGCTTCTTCTATACTCCCAACTGTTTTGAGCAATATACTTTATATTTCTCTCCCATTAAATTATCTCTAGAAAAACAGCTGGAGAAGAAAATACCAGCTGTGCAAGTGGAGAAGAGATTTCTGTTAAAGAACATGTTAAAGAACCTGTGAATGATGTACAGAGTATGCCTGAGATACAGGTAATGACACAGGCCAATTTTCTGTGGGTCAAAATCTGCTTCCTCTTCTATTTGTATCGAGTGTGGAAAGGGGGTATATGGGGCCAGCCAAGCGTGCCAGGCCATGGGGAACCTTTGCCATACCAACTGCTTTACATGCTGCTCTTGTGACACACGGCCCCCGCAGAGAGGGAGGACAAGGACGAAGAGGAGGACGGGGAGCCTGCCCCCCCAACTATCGCCAGCTGCCCCAGCCGCCTCAGACTTCCTGCACTACTTCCAGGGCCCGCAGGGGAGAAGAACGAGGAGAACAAGGAACTCCGCCCCCCAAACTACCACCAGCTCCAGCCGCCTCGGACTCGCACTGAGCGCTGGTTTCGGGCCAGGCTGCGGGAAACAGCAGAGGAGAGCCCGTTCGGAACCATTGATCGTGACTTCCAATCTTTTTACCGTTCCTAAATTATTTTAATTACCATCAATTTAGGAACTGCATTTTTAGCTGGTTTGTTGGGTGTATGAGTATATGAATGTGAGAGAGAATGTGCCCACTTTTAATTTAATTATTGT